TATCAGAATACCTGTACAGTCATTCCATAATGATGTACGAACAGCAATAGTCATGCTAGTATGTGACGATAAAACCAACATTTTATCAGAATACCTGTACAGTCATTCCATAATGATGTACGAACAGCAATAGTCGTGCTAGCATGTGACGATAAAATCAACATTTTATCAGAACACCTGTAAAGTTGTTCTTGCATGCCGCAACTTTAAATATTTTACTTCATTAGTTTTGTGAAGTAAAAACTTTTAAGGCATGTGTCACCTATTGACATTTCAGCAAGTTGCGCTTAGATAAATTTTTAACTGTAGACATTTTTAGATTCGCACACCATGTATGTCATGTAAATTTATAAGGTTTGTAATTTGAACTTATGAGTTGGTAAAAGGTTGAATAGTAAGACATACTGTAGTGAGGTTTTGATGGAAAGAGAAGACAGTTTCCAAATATGGACTTTGAAATTTCTATAAGCAGCTTTAATTCTACCAAGATCCGGTGAAAGTAACAGTTTTGGAAGACAGGACGAGAACAGGTGGAATTCATTAATCTTTAACAATACAAACGTGTAAGCCTCATCAGTGTTAATGTTTACATGAAGTTAATCGCCTTTAGTTTCATGTGTTTTTACTCCCAAATATTTTCAATCCTTTCACAACTACATAGAAAAGTTTTAGTATTATTTTTTTCGTTTACTTTCGAATAATTTTCGTTTGAGTGACTTCTGGTATATAAAATAACAATTAGAAGACTATTTTTTAATAGTGAAACCATTATTTGAGTTTTCATTTTATAATTAGGATATGAACAAACGGCATCTTATAATAAAATTTTATGTGAACAGCAATAGTCATTCGATTATCAGGATTAAGTGAACACTAGTAGTAGATACTAGCAGACAGCAGTGGTCAATTTGTAATACAGAATCATACGAAATTAGGACAGCAGTAGTCACTTTATCATCAGGATACGAGCGGACAATAGTAGTTCTCTTATCACCAGAATACGAGCAGACAGCAGTGGTCACTTTGTAATTATGAATCGTGAAATGAGGACAGCAGTAGTCACTTTATCATCATGATACAAGCAGATAATAGTAGTCCCCTTATCACCAAGATACGAGCAGACAGCAGTGGTCACTTTGTAATTATGAATCGTGAAATGAGGACAGCAGTAGTCTCTTTATCATCATGATACAAGCAGACAATAGTAGTCCGCTTATCACCAAGATACGAGCAGACAGCAGTGGTCACTTTGTAATTATGAATCATACGAAATGAGGACAACAGTAGTCATTTTATCATCAGGATACGAGCAGACAGCAGTGGTCACTTTGAAATTATGAATCATACGAAATGAGGACAGCAGTAGTCACTTTATCATCAGGATACGAGCAGACAGTAGTAGTCCCCTTGAGTGATTTCTTGTCTGGATTTTACAAGCATTTTTGTGTCTATAAACTTTGCTATATGGGACATTTTAGTTCATTAGAAATGTTTAAATTCACCGCAAGATGTTGTAGGTGCAGGAGTTAACTCTCATGAAGATTCTGTTTATTGTTACCTTTGTTAGCTTCATATATATATTATTTTGAAGCTTAACAGCTCTTTTTTTCTTTTCTTATTGGCACGTCCTTTATTTCGTGTATATGAAAATGTTCCTGCATTACACGGTTTCAATTATAAATTGTTTAACCAGAATGAAAGATTGATCCGTAAAAAAAAAAACACGTAACTCCGTTATTGTTAGAGAACACCTACAATTATACAAAGTAGACATTCTGTCGAGAAAGAACGGTAATTATCTGCAGACTGTTTGAGCTACATTTATCCACAAACATTTCTTGAATTTTCCAGGTATGAGCCATTGCTGTTTACACGACTCTGGCAGTACAATAATTGATCGATGTTTTACCGCTTTCCACGCCAGCGGGGTGTCGAAACATAGTGTCCTCTAATAATCAATGCAGTTCTGTGTTATGTAGCGCCACGGTAACGAGGGTGTTACATGTTTCAATGTAACACAACTGATAAATATAAGTATCGGTAACGTTGTTGAAAAACTGCTCCGGAACATTGTTGTTTAATTGATATAGAATAGAAAACATTGTTGGTTAGTTAAGTGATGTAGAATAGAAAACATTGTTGGTTGATTGATATAGAATAGAAAACATTGTTGGTTAAGTGATGTAGAATAGAAAACATTGTTGGTTGATTGATATAGAATAGAAAACATTGTTGGTTAATTGATATAGAATAGAAAACATTGTTGGTTGATTGATATAGAATAGAAAATATTGTTGGTTAATTAAATGAAAAATATATTCACAGTAAAGTGATTTATAATAAACAAATAAAACTAAAGGCTATGACAAACAGGAACCTTAGTAGGTAACCTAATGAAAATCTTAACTGTTTACTTATTTCATAGTGTTTTAAAAACTGATTTTTCACATTAACTGTTCGATTAACATTTCTGCCTAAAGACCGTGCAAGTTTGATGGCCGAAAGCTTGTGTAAGTAAAACAATTAAACGTGTAAATAATCATGTACGTTCATTATATGATTCATATCGTACATTGTCGGCTATAAACATTATCAATGTGGGCCTAATTTAACTAGTATTGGAAAGCGTATAAATATATTGCGGTGAATACCTATAAGTATGAATTGTGGTGGTATTCTCGCTGTAAGATATTGTATTGTTGAGAATATGCTATATCAGTTGAGATAATAGTTAAACATCAAAGTTAACAAAGTGTTAACAGTGCTTTCACCTGCAAGAAATAATGGACGACACGTTTTCAAATTGTGTTTCATAGAAAACCCATTGCGTTGTAATTACGTAATGTCTTTACAGAACACAGAGAGGTCACGGCTAATTAAACAACAGAAAATAATGTTGGTTAACTTGTCGCTGTAATGAATTAGGATAGTTGTGTTTATTAGCTGGTTTCTTCAAGGTTTTTGCGAGGCAATTCTAGTTCAAGATTTTCTTCCCTTGACAACCTTGGTCTTGTTACGTACAACTTATAATTTGAAAGTTCTGAGAAAACACGAACAAATGAACAATATGATGCCATGCATCAGTACACGCGGGAGTCTTCAAAACAGGACAAAGATCTCGAATCTACTTCGGTTAATAATCTTCACGAAGATGATCTACAGAACATAAGACGAAACAATGATCACGAATTTACTTGGATAAATGATCTGCACGAAGATGATCTAGAAGTAAATCCGTGATCTTTGTTTCGTCTTATGTTCTCTAGATCATCTTCGTGCAGATCATTTACCCAAGTAAATCCGTGATCTTTGTTTCGTCTTATGTTCTGGGTAAATGATCTGCACGAGGAAGATCTACAGAACATAAGACGAAACAAAGATCACGGATTTACTTGGGTAAATGATCTGCACGAAGATGATCTACAGAACATAAGACGAAACATAGATCACGGATTTACTTGGATAAATGATCTGCACGAAGATGATCTAGAGAACATAAGACGAAACAAAGATCGCAGATCTACTTGGGTAAATGATCTACACGAAGAAGATCTTCAAATATTATCGGGATAAAGGGTTAGGGTCTACTTGGGTAAATGATCTATACGAAGATAATGTTCAGACCATAAGGAGAAAGAAAGATCGCAGATCTACTTGGGTAAATAATCTACATGAAGATAATTCTCATTAAAAAAGTCTACATATATTTAAGCTTTGTGTGTTATAGTGAAGTTAAGTTTGTCGAGAATAGAGACGACTGCAGCTGGCCATCAGGGCGATAGGTAACCTATGAAATAGACGCGCATAAGCGTCTTCAAAGGCAGACACATAAGGCTGGAGTGGGTTTATCTCCAGTGAAATATAGCCATAAACTTTCTAGGTGAATAAGTTAATTGATCATGCCTTGCCATATTCTTTAGGCTTAAGTAGGTTCTTCAACTTCAAAATTTATTAAGCGAATGCTAGTTAACGTATTTTGTTTTGTAATTATTCTGCTTCTTACTTTTTTGTTAAACACTAGTTTTCGATCTTATAGAACTATTTATTTATTATATTAAATATGTATTGTAAAGTTATTTCTTCTTGCATGATTTTTCCTCCCCAAAGAACCCCTTGAAATCCCATTTCTTTTCGGGTACGTTTTTTCAACGTTTAATGTTGGAAATATATTTAATTAATGAATTGTATCACTAATCCAGGCTGTTCTGTGGTTTTCAGGTGAAAATCTGGTTTCAAAATAGAAGGTCCAAATACAAAAAGATGCTAAAAGCCCAGCAACAAGCAACAGGCCAGCAACCTCAAGCACAGCAGCCCGCCCAGACTCCGGCGCTACCACCGCCCAATCCTGCTGCCACGCCGCAGACGCCGACGGAGTCGCCAGAGACACATAGTCCAGGAAGCGCCGGGCAACCAGGGCTGCTGCCCCCGAATACCCACAGTCCGGTAGTCGGGAGCCTAGCTGCGGTTAGCCCTCCCGCCATGAGCCCCCCGATCAGCTCGTGGGACATGAACCCTGGCAAGCCGCCTATGAGTCTGCCCAACAGCTATATGCCCCAGTATTGGTACCATCAACCTGAGCCTAATATGAACCAACAAATTCTCACCTAAGTCCGGGGCTGCTACATTTTGCAGCACGTGCAGCCGGCCCTCCTCCTCAACTAAGACCGTGAGTACGTGGCTTTCAGTATTAAAGCCGGATACAAGCTGCCGGCTTAGCTTACGGGCCTCGTGGACATAGGGCTAGAATAATATCCAAAGATCAATTGTTGTGTATATTATTGTCTTTTGTAATATGTCCTCATGTTGAAGGAAGCTTAGCTCCCAGGTCCTCTGCTCCGGTCGCTATTCTCCAGACTGTCTGGTTTTGTACATTAAGGCTCAGTCGAACAGGAGCAAGGGAGATGGCTTGCGACCTTTGTACATAGCATGTCCTTTTTTTCTTTTTTTGCAGAAAAGCCCCTGTTTATCTCGAGGACTTGATTGTACCTAGCGGTCTTTTGTGTAAACTTCTTCAATTTATTTTATTTATGGACAGATGTGTTAGTGACTACGAAGTAAAGATGTACTTTCTGGCCGTTAGGTTTGTTGTACAGTGATGTAAGCTAGAAGGGTCAAGGGGTTAGAATGTTTCATTGTTCTGTTGACTTAATCTTGAATAAAATCAAAGGTTCGGCATTTACAAAATTAACATAAAAAATAAAACTGTAATCGTCAGATAGGTCCACAAGTAACGTATTCAAGGCCTTTCCTGACCGTACAACCACAATACCAAGTCTGTTAATTAAAAACTACTTTCTTTTCATATCCAAGTTTTAATCACGAGAACACCCAAGCGGGAAGTTTGTCATTGTGTATATTTTACATCAATAAACCATGTTTCACAAAAATTACTTTTGTCTCCTGGTACAATTTTTGTTTCACTTTCAAAAGTAATGTAAAATTCTCATTACCGGAAATTTTGAAGAGGGTCTTCCCACAATCTCAATTATTCATAGCTGAATAAAGAGTTTTAAGATTTGGAAAGCGCTTAGTACACTTATAAAACTTCCAAATTTATTGTTATCCGGATTTCCTTGGTAACTCAAACGAAAACAAGTAAAATAATAGGGTTACAAGGCTGAATCTTCTTATACTAATTAGGTTATAAGAATGTCATATACTGTACTGAAGGTTTTTGCTCTTAGATTAGGTTGGTCTGGTTTTATGTTTATTGCTTTAAAGAAAAAAGTGGAACATCCCTCGTCTTTGTAGGTATTTATCATATTTCAACAGTTTTGGTTAATTCTTGTCTGATTGGGAAGTGTTCTTCATAAAGATATTTCAGTGAAGTTAGCAAACAGTTTAATACAGTTTCACAAGTGCTTGTCTACTTTTAAGAAAACGTATTTTCACAGCAAATTAACTGGTACATTTACAACTTTATTCAAATTACATACGAAAAAATTCCAGTAAGACTTGAAATATAACACATTACGTCCGTAAACATTTCTGTTTTTTATTTTCTGACGGTGACTGTAATACAAGAGAATGTTTGTAAAACGATGTGAAGGAGGTGTTACATTGTTCGGACATATTTCTGGCTGTCTATTCACTAATAATTTCACAGTTTAATTTTATACGTGTTTAGTTTTTTATGTAATGATACCACATTTTATGCACTAGAGTTTGAACGGGAGTTTAATGCCTTTTAATACTACCCTCACTTAGTTTTTTTGATTTTGGTTATTACAAAGTGAACATTGCTGCTACACAGTTTTAAATTTTGGTTATTATTTATAGAACAAATTTTGGTTATAAAAATTACTTTATTTTTGATGTTTCGCTGACCTATTATGGCTACGTTTCTGGAATATTTTAATCTAATTGGACTTATTAATTTTAACTTTATTACACTGAAAAGACACGAGGCAAAATTATTTGCTTTGATATTTTTGTTATATATCAGAAAAATGACAATAAAGAAAGGTGCATAACATTCTAATATGTAAGTTTTAAAACATAGGAATAGAAAAGAATAGTTGGAAATTTTGTTTTTGAGAAAAAACATTTTTATGAAAGAAGAATTGCATTCAAGAACTGGACTACAACTTTGAGCGTTAATAATTTATAATTCAGCCAAGAGTGATGTTGACATTTCACTACTACACAATATGTCTGATTTTTTTTATATTCTAAATTGAAAGCTACCCGATAAAGTCTAGTATATAGTGCTAGACTGTAGAATGCTACCTGATAAAGTCCAGTACATAATGCTGGACTGTTGAAAGCTACCTGATAAAGTCCAGTACATAATGCTAGACTGTAGAAAGCTACCTGATAAAGTCCAGTACATCAGGTAGCTTTCAACAGTCTAGCATTATTAGCATTATATACTGGACTTTGACTGTAGAAAGCTACCTTATAAAGTCCAGTATATAATGCTAGACTGTAGAAAGCTACCTGATAAAGTCCAGTACATAATGCTGGACTGTTGAAAGCTACCCGATAAAGTCCAGTACACAATGCTGGACTGTTGAAAGCTACCTGATTTGGTAGCTTTCAACAATCTAGCATTTTATACTGGACTTTATCGGGTAATTTTCAACAGTCTAGCATTATATATACAGGACTTTATCGGTAGCTTTCAACAATCTAGCATTATATGTACAGGACCTTATCAGGTAGGTTTCAACAGTCTAGCATTATATACTAGACTTTATCAGGTAGCTTTCAACAGTTTAGCATTATATATACAGGACTTTACCGTGTAGCTTTTAACAATCTAGCATTATATGCTGGACTTTATCGGGTAGCTTTCAACAGATAAGCATTATATACTGGACTTTATCGTGTAGCTTTGAACAAGCTAGGAAGTCTAGCATTATATATACAGGACTTTAGTTGAAAGTTACCCGATAAAGTCCAGTATAAAATGCTAGACTGTCACAACGTTCTTAAGCGTACAGGTTTTAACGAAACCCATACTTCAGCAGTATTCAAGGTAGAATGAAAAGAGGTCGGAATTCGTCTGTATTTGATGATATATACTTTTAATTCGTAAAGATTTTCAGGTTTGTACTCTTAAGAACTTGACTAATATTGTGTTTTATCTTTACTTGGGTAGATTTGAATTATAGTTATACGTACAAATACATCCGGCCATTACTGTCTTTTGCAAAATCCAAATGCTTCAGATATTCGAAACCATACTTTAACATAAATATTATTGTATTTTTGTTGATAAAGATTGTAATTACTTAAGAACATACCACTGAATTTTAAAGGTGTGCTAGAAATGTTAAAGCCAGTAACTGAAGACGTTGCCTTTGAGACATTCTGCACATAACAAATGTCTATGTACTGACGTGATTTTAACACTTAAATTTAACCTTTGCTATATATAATATTCCCGTGTACACTTTCCAGGAGATAAGTATTTTGGTTTTATACTACAAGAAAAAAAAAGAGTAAACTAAACAAGGCTACAAGTTATATGGTTTAATTCATATCCTTAGGAACGTAGCTGCGTGACTTCAGCATAGAATAAATATGGATAGAAGCTCATAGCTTCAATACGTGATCTTTCCCTTGGATATATTTATTTAATGTGGCGAAGTAGAAATAATACCTGGTACAGGATCATGTGAATTATATTGAAGCCAACTTCATCCTTGTTAACAGACACCTGTATAAATATTAAACAAGAATACCTTCGTGAACACCTACGTCACACGACAACGCATTGTGGGTACTTACTTCTGTCACACGACAGCGTATTATATGTACTTTACATCTATGTGGATGTACATATATATACGATGATTCGTAATCAGTTCTGTCGCCAATAAAAGAAATTAGCGTCTGGTCAGTTATGTGGCTAGTAAAAGAAATTAGTGTCTGACCAGTTATGTCGCCAGTAAGTTAGTCTTAAATCCTTCTTCTAACAATGAAAATTCATCTTCATATAAGTGTGGAAATTAATGACAACAACAATAAAAAAAATTCAATTACAGCCAATAATATTAATGAAATTAAATTCAATGTCTGCGATTGGTCATTTCAGTCGAGAAATCCAGTTACTACAATAATCTTACTGTAACCTTGTTTTAGTATTACATTATAAAACCAATAAAAACAATCCTCCGATGAGTCAGCGGTAAGTTTAGAGACTTGCAACGCTAAAATGCGGAATTCAATTCCCTTCGATGGACAGAGTGCAGATAGCTCATTGCGTAGTTTTGCACTAAGTAAACAATAAAACTAACGTGCATATAGGATGAATGGGTGCTGGAAACTATACTTTCCTAGAGTCGTTCCTGCACGAGAAATCGGGTAATATAAACAACGCGTTTTTGCAGAAATCACTATGGTGACAGCTCCATGAAAGACTATAATTTTATTTTATTTCGACACTCCATTCGAACGCTTACATTTATCCCGTACTTGGCCTCAACATAATACCCTTATTCCAGAATCTCCAGTTATCTAAAAATATTTTCTGCCTGTAAACAAAGTTGAAGAAATAATCGTCTTAATAAGGAGGGAAAATACCAATAAGCAGAAGAGGGATGCCGACTTTATCTTAAATATTTTGGCATCATTTCGTTTTCAAACCAAACTGTATTTTTTTCTGTACTTAACATGTACACTTTCTAAAGCTAAGTGTATATATATATATATATATATATGTAAAAACATTTTCAAAGGGCGTATATTTGAACTTCATATTATTCTGTTTACATCAATTCGATATATAGTTTTCCAGTATTTAAGCAGTTTAAAAAATGATCCTCAGCCTTAAAGCACGGCACTGTCTTGGAGTCGAGTGCTCGAAGTGTTTTCCCTATACTGTACTAACGGAAGAAATTAAATTTAAGATACATTTTTACGTAACGTAACATAAGTTATGTTTATGACGAAATCAGACTCTAAAATCCAGCGTGTATTTTTATGTACATAGGTACAAGGGAAAAATTCCTTGATTGAGTAAAATACTGTGTAGCGCAAAAGAAATACTAATTCGCCCTCTGTATTTATATATCATAGCGTGAACATGTTTGCCTTATTATAAAACCATTATTATTAATATTTTTGCTGTATGTTTGCTAAACACGAAACGACGTAACCTTCACACCAGATTCATGAAAACGTGAATTAAACACATTTTGAAATAACATGACGTGAAAGAACGCTTAGATATGTCGTTTATTGAACCCTCTGGGTTTAATTACAAAACGATGTTTAGAAAGTGTTTAGGCACTGCCAGTGTGCACGATAGTCAATAAATAGATCTTTGATGTAAGATAATTTAAAAGTTTCGTTAAAAATTAATGCAATGTAGTTCATTAAGTAAATTCATTATTACACCTGCACAACCTTTCTTCCAGTGTGGGCTGTGTTATCGAACATACATTAAGATCAATCAATAATAAATTTAAAGTGACGTCTATATTTTGAAGGATCAAACAAATCCCACTTACATACATACATGTATACAACATAATCACGCAAGAACATACACACACACACACACATTTCTGTATATATATATATATACAGGGTGTTCCAAAAGTCGGTTGCTATAGGCTGACAGTCTTTTCACGTTTTACAGAATATGCTCCAAATGTCCATCCTCAACATCCATACAGCACTGAAGACGTTCAAACCAGTCACTTTCATTTGTTCTTCAATGGTAAATTCCATTATCTAAAGAAATGTGCAAAAAACAAGAAAATCAATGATCATTTCCTAATGTTACAATTACAACAGAGTTTTGGACATATTGTTAAATATTCGTAAGATATATACTCCAGAATTTATAATCTTGGTAGCGTAATATAATTAATATATATATATATATATATAACAAAAACATTTGCATTCTTTGAGACAAACTAATTCATTTAGTTTC